CCATCCTCCCTGCCCCCAATCCAGGCCTGGCCCAGAGCGTCCTTCACTGTGAATTAACCGTTTCCTAAAAAGACAAGCGATGATGCAAAGGGATGAAGATATATTTTGAGAGACTTTCCAAAAAGTTACCAAAACAAACCCCCACATCACAGAAATCCAGTTTCAGATTGTGTGTTCTTTACATGAGTTTTAAATCACAAGCAAATATGAGGTGTTGGGGTTTGGGGCTGTGTCTGCGTGCCCCACACCATGTACCCCACATGGGGCAATGCCCAGCAGCCCAGACACGTCTCCCTGTACCCCCCAGGGAAGGAACAGTCAGGGGTCTGGGAGGTAAGTGGGGATGTGCAGAGCAGGGCGGTCAGCCTGAACTGGAGTGAGCTCACAGAGCAGAATGGTGGCGGCCACGGGGAGAGCAGGAGAGCTCATCTGTTCTCAGGATCCCTTGGATTTAGTGAATGCCAACCCAGCCCCCAGCCACAGGCCCTGGCATGTCACACCTAAGAGGTGCAGTGACCAGGCTGGCAAATGCACACAGCCCTGTGCTCACTGGTGGACACCGAAGTCTCCCCGGTCCAGGGCCAGGAGCACCTGGACTGAGAGCAGCCTGCCCGTGTCCCTCCTCCAGCCCCTGAGCCAAGACCTCCCCACTCATCCAGACCTACGGGCGCCTGGCACAGGGCCATCCTCTCCTCCACCTTCTTGACCTGTCCTTCCACTTTGGGCACCAAGGGGGACAGGACACCCCAGTTTGTGCTGACAGACAAAATGTCCCTGGTGCTTTCAAAGTGGGGAATCCACTCAGCTGACATGAGTGTCCGAGAGAGGAAAAGGCCTGCCAAGAACACAGAGCAGCTGAGCTTTCCTGGATTAAGAGGCTTGGGTGAGGGAAGAGGAAATGGGAGAAGCCTGTTTTTAAAGCAGACTGTTGACAAGCACAGTGACTGGTGGATTCAGGGTTGAGGACCCACGCCCAAGCGGTGACCTCCCACCAGCCCCGGGAATGAACACAAGGTCTGTCCTTCGTAACAATGAACACGTCCTTTGGAGAAACACAGACACGGGACCCAGACCCAGGGGAACCTTCCAAGAGGGGAAATGAATACTGACACTAAAAATATCCCTTCGTGTGTCCCCTGACCAGGAACCCCGCCTGGGCTTGGCACCGGAGGACAGGCGGCCCCAGGACCCCCTGGAGGCCACACAGAACATCGAAGGTAAACCTTGCGCCGGCAAGCCAATTTCAGTTGCACCTCAGAAACGCTAAGTGCCAGCTCATTCCCAAGGAGCAGCACCCTGAGTGTAAGTGCAGCAAAACCAAGTCTGGGCCCTCGAGCACACACCCGACCCGGCTGCGGTCACGTGGAGGCATGGGCGGGACTCAGAAGATGCGCAGAGCAGGGCCCTGAGGGGCCTCCTGGGAGGCCTGGCTGTGGAGGACCCCCTAAGCCGGGCCTCTCAGCTTCCCCCCCCCAGCCCAACATGCACTCGGGCACGACGTTTTATCAGGACCCACGCTCATTCTGTGTCCTGCTCCACACGGGGTCGTTCTCACACCTGCCCCCAGGTCAGTGCCCCACAGCACTACCACGGGGGGCCACTCACAACCCCAGCGGTCTGCGAGGTGAGAAGGCAAGCTCCAGCCCACCTTTCCATGGCTCCCACCTCCCTGGAGGTCGCCCTCCCCCACCCAAGCCCCAGATAGTAAAGTGGCTCTCAGGAACAGGGGAGGGGCGAAGGCATCACACGCACGCAGCTCCAAGCCTACGCCCGGTTCTGCCAGGACGGCCCAACTTGTTCCAGGAGAGGGGCACACTTGTCCAGCTTCAACAAGTCGTGTCTTACAAGTGCCCGGGGCTGCCCTGCTGGGACCGCCCGCAAGCGCCTCCATTCGGCTGTTGGCGGGCACCAGCAAACTGAGGCCCCAGCAGAGATCTGATGGGGGTGGGGACCACCCTGGCCTGCTCCCGTGGCCTCACGCCGCAGGACACAGCCTTCCATCCCCTGTGTGGACACGGGCAGAGCAGCCGAGTGCCGACGCTGACCGGATTCCAGGCCCACCTGGCCGCTCACAGCCGGCGACCTTAAACAACTCAGTTCACCCCTCCGCCCTTAGCGTCCTCATCTGTGAAAGTCGGGCGCCAGTGCGGCCCGGGACAAGGGTCCGGGGCGGGTCTGGTGCAGGAAGGTCGGGCGGAGGCTGGGCGGGGCCCTGGGGGCACCCCTGCGGGCCGCGCGGCACAGGTAGGCTTTTGAAGGCGGCCAGCACGGGCCCCAAGGTCCACGTCCAGGTCCTCCAAACTCCCGCCAAATGTCAGCCGTCCAGGAGCAGACGCTGCAGCGGGAGGGCTTCGGGCTGGGCCCGGGCCGGCAGCCCGCCAAGGATTCCCGCGGCCCGAGGCCTGGCCGCCTTCCGCCCTCGGCGCGGCCCCAGACAGCGGCCCCGGGCCCCTCTCGCGGCCCGCACAGG